TTTATGCGTGTCATCCTTGCGCAGGGGCCATGCTAATCTTCTCTTTCTCTGTATCGTTCCTTTTTTATGCCCTGGCACACCAGCTGGTCTTGGGAAATACGCTTGGCTGGAAATGCAGGGCAAATAGATCTTCTTTGAGAAATACCAGTGTGAGGATGGTCTTAAGTATCTATTTAGTGTAAGGATGGCCTAAGTGATTTCTTTGCACATTGAATTTCTTACACTGCGGTTGTGTTGCTGTGTTGTCTGTGCAGGTGTCGTCGACGAGACAATGAGAAACAAAAGCCGGAACAGCAGCAGTGGAGCCTTATCTCATGGTTTATCATCCTCCTTGACTCATGCATCTGCTTCTGCTGCTGGTGGATCTGCTGCTACTGCTATCTCTAGTTGCAGTAGTAGTGGCACTAGCGCTGGCAGTGGCAGTGGCAGTGGAAGTGGCAGTGGTAGTGGTAGTAGTGGTAGCAGTAGTTGTCATCGGAATGCTTGGTTTGATGTGCGAGGGGATGGAGGTATGGAAGATGGTGAAGAAGATGAAGATTCATTTTGCCCACTTTGCATTGAACCATTTGATGAGACAGATGAGCGTTTTCGTCCTTGCCCCTGTGGGTAGGCACATCTACACCCTCACTCGTGCTCTTATGCCTTGCTTATGCCCATTTTCTGGGTCGCACCAACCCTGTGCAACTCCACTTTTGCTCTATTTCCTTCAACACATCCACTTTTCTGTTTTGCGTCAACGTGTCTCTCTCTCTCTTGTTCTCTCCCCTCTCTTTCTTCGTGGCGACACCAAGGAGGAAGGCCTACATGCCTCCATTTCCAGCATTACACCAACCTGTGCACCTCCACTTTTTCTCTGTTTCGTTGCTCCCACACCTCTACCCTTCTCCCCCTCTCTCTCTCTCTCTCTCTCTCTCTCTCTCTCTCTCTCTCTCTCTCTCTCTCTCTCTCTCTCTCTCTCTCTCTCTCATGCACACCGACAGTTTCGCACCGTTCATAAAATGCCTCCTCACAAACAATTGGCTAGTACAATGATTACTTCCTTGAATCTCAGCCCAGCTTCACAAGTGGCAATCTCTACTCTGCGCGAGAAAGACGCTGAGCTCTATCAATAGGTCGGTGTTTGATGGTGCTGGATTGTTCAGAGTGCCGACGAAGTGGTGCTTGACTTTAAACAGAATGCATCCTGTCTTCATGGCCTCTCCGCAGATTGTGGATTTCACCTCAATGTGCACCAACCGTATTTCTGAACAGTATGACAAAAGCTGTTGAGGGAGCTCATGCTTATGCCCTTCAGCATACTCGCAAGAGTTCACACTGCAATGCCTTGAACATGGTGATTCGAGGGCCTCTTCTTGTTGCCAATTGACAGATGATTCAGGCCCGGACAACCCTTTTTTGTTTCTCGGATCATACAACTTCGCTTTGTGGTACAAAACACTGATCTGTACTCTGCAGATGCCACACTTCGGAAGCAGATTGTTGGCATTCCAATGGTAAGTGATGCTGGCCCAGAAATGTCCGATCTGATGCTAACTACTCACAAAAGTGACCACAATAAGATAACCACAGTCAGAGTATCAAAGAGAAACTCCCAAGAAACATCAAAGATTTCTGACGAAGTCCATGGTGCGAATTTGTATCTAACAAGCGCTGGCTCTCAGTGCAACCTCATAAAGCCTATGAAACACAGACCTGAAGAAATTGAAACACATTGTCAATTGCTTGTACCGACAACGCAGCCCCCAAATAGTCTAACTTCCAAAGAACAGTCGTTTTGTGCTGTACAGCATTGCAGATTCACACCTCACCTGCAGAATAGGCACTGGTCCCCTCAAATGCCTAGTGAGCGTGAGTCGTCAGCTCGTGCCAATTACACCCCTGCCCCTTTGTACACCACCCGTCGCTCCTACCGATTGAATGGTCCGGTGAAGTGTACAGTCCCCTCAAATGCCTAGTGAGCGTGAGTCATCAGCTCACGCCGATTACGTCCCTGTCCGTTGTACACTACCCGTCGCTCCTACAGATCCGGTGAAGTGTGCAGTCCCCTCAAATGCGTAATGAGCGTGAGTCATCAGGTCGTGCCGATTACGTCCCTTCCCCTTTGTACACCACCCGTCGCTCCTACACGACTGAATGGCCCGGTGAATTGTCAGAATCCCGGTGATCTCGGGGGGTTGCAGCAGGTGTGCTGTGGAGCGCCGGATGTCACAGGATGGGAACATCAGTTGGCTGAATTGCAAATTGCCCCACAAGGCATAGACCATCTGCAAATGACTGACCAGCATATAGCCCAAGATGTAGACCACACATGGGTGATCTGCAATTTGCCCCGCAAGGCGTGGACCACATGGCTGATCGGCAAATGACTGACAAGGGTACACCTCAAGACATTCCAGGCTTGGAACATCACTTGGGTAACCTGCAAAGTGTTGGGCACTGTCCAGCACTCCAGCCTTCTCATGACAATGAGGAGCATCTATGTGATCCTTGTTTCTCTAATTTCGTTGAGATCCTCCTCAAATCTTTACGGTTTGGCTGCTACTAACGTTCGTTTGCGCATTTTCCTCTGCCCGCCTTATCTGGAGTTTAGACTTTCTTACAATTGCAGTTCAGCCTTATGTGGGTCTTCCTCCTTGCCTAGGGCCAAAGGATAGGAACTATACCAGGATAGGTCCTGCAAGTAGCAATCAGGGACCGCCAACTTGAACTGTGTTATGGTTTCCTCCTCCATCCCACATCTCTTCCTTCATCATTAACGGACCTGACCATTACAGGGCCATTGTCCATGCCTCTGACTGGTGGGAGTAAGCGATTTCTTATACACAATGATGTTGGTTTCTTGCCACTGCGAACCGTGCGCACACTCTTGTATGTTGAAGATGACTTCTCTGCCCCTGTGCTGCAGCGGGACAATGTGCCAATGCGCTGTGACCCTCTCCTCTGCCTGGCGACAGACATGATTACACTAAGCTTCAGGTGTCATCGTCTCTGCCACGATCACTACAATGCCAGGGTTTCTGCATCCGTGTGTGCACAAGGATGCTCCTCGTTTTGCTGACTATGTGCACCCTCCACATCCCGACATCATATGTCCATTTTGTGGCCATGGACGTTCCAATCAATGAATGGTCGTCCGTGATGCCCATTCTCCCTTCATGTTGGCCTGTAACTCTGACATGCCATTTGTTGGGAGTGTTTGGTGGGCATGCTTAATGCCAGCCATCGTTGCAATTTTTGTTCTGAGAATGCTCAGCTAGGTCTTCCATGTCATCATCCACCTCATCCTACAGTGCACGTCGTCTCTGTCGTCAAGGACAGACTGATTTATGATAGGCTTGTCTTACTTTACTTTCCCTTTGTCTTCCTTGTCTTCCTTCCATTTTTCTCCCCGCTCCCTTTCATCTTTGTTCCACACTCTTTACTTTTCCTTTGTCTTCCTCGTCTTCAGTCCCTCTTCCTCCTCCTCTCCACATGCTGCACGGAAATTCCCCTCTGTCCGTGCACTTCTTCCCCCCTCCATCACTTCTCCCCCAACTTCCTTCTCCCTCCTGTCACCTCCTCCCTTCCTTCGTGAACCTCTTCCCTTCCACCCGAATGTCTTCCCTCCTCCGTAAACCCTGTCTCTTATACACATCTAGATGTGTATAAGAGACAGTCCGTAAACCTCCTTCCTGATCTTGTTCTCCCCCAACTTCCTTCTCCCTCCTGTCACCTCCTCCCTTCCTTCGTGAACCTCTTCCCTTCCTCCCGAATGTCTTCCCTCCTCCGCAAACCTCCTTCCTGATCTTGTTCTGCCCCAACTTCCTTCTCCCTCCTGTCACCTCCTGCCTTCCTTCGTGAACCTCTTCCCTTCCTCCTGAATGTCTTCCCTCCTCCGCAAACCTCCTTCCTTGTTCCCTCCCCCGCTAGCCTCTCCCCTCCTTCCCAAACGTCCTGCCCTCCTTCCCGTATCTCCTTCCCTTGAACCTGAACCTGTCCTGTACTCTCCCAACGTCCTTTTCTTCACCAACCTCCTCCGTTCCTCCCCTGCTAACCTACTCCCTCCTCCCCAGACCTCCTTCCCTCCTTCCTGAACCTCTTCCCCTATCTCCCCGAACCTCTTCTCCGCGTGTATTTGACCGGCTCAACTCTGTTTTTTTTTTTTTCTGTTGGTTTTCTTGGAATTTCAACTGCTGTTGTGATGTTATTATCTTGCTATCGAGTTCTGTTTGCTCAGAACTGTGGGTCTGCAAAAATGGCGAAGAGTGCAAGGCGAGGATGTTCGACAGGAAGCTGTATGCGCCGTGTTCATCCTGCCTTGCTGGCACAGTGAACCCGCCCACAGACAGGGGCCTCTCAAGTATAGAACACTCAACCTTGACCACTCACACACCCGGGGGCAGGTATCAACCCAGATCGTGTTTCTCGATCGCCGGCAATGGGGTGCGCTATACCCCAACTCAGGTTCTGGGCTCCCAAGGTGACCTGCCGGAAGGCAGTCATGCACCCTGTCACCTGTCACTGAGGGGAGTACGGAACCCTGGCTTCCTTGCCCTGTTCCTTTCCCACTGAGCTCACCCCCGTCCCCACCCCATCCTCCCATGGCCCTGCACAACCCAAGGGGGGATGCAAGCGATGCCCTCCGACAACCCACATGGAGCCTGTGCTGCACGGCACGCACTGGGGGGCAGCATCCGATATGGCAGCCACAATGGCTGGACCCCACAGTTCGGATCTGTGTCAGTTTAGGTTGCAGGTGCGAGTTCTCGAACCCGCAGCCTGGTGCATCCCACAGGCGGGCGTCAACAGATGCAAAAAAGGGCCAGGCCGTAGCTCAGTGGGTGGAGCACCGGTGTCGGATGTGCGCTGTGGTCTCAGAACCCGCAGCCCGGCGCATTCGGCTGACAGGTGTGGGATCCAGCCATTAAACCCCTGTGCGCGGCCGGGTTAGAGCATCGGACTTCTTGCTTTGCCCGCTGTACCACAGGCCTTGCGTCAGTTGACGCCTGTCGGCCGAATGCGCCAGGCTGCAGGTTTTGAGACCACAGCGTGCATTCGACACCGGTGCTACACCCACTGAGCTATGGCCTGGCGCTTTTTTGCATTGGTTGACGCCCGCTGGTGGGATGCGCCAGGCGGCGGGTTTGAGAACTCGAACCTGCAACCTAAGACCACAATGCGCATTCCACACCACTGGTCTACCCAGAAAGAATGGCAAACTCCACCAGAAAAAAAAGCCTCGACAAGTATGCCTTCTATGCGCCGATTTCTCCACACATTTTGGCCCCGCCTGCACATGTCGGCCCCTGGCTCCCCCGCCCTAAAAAAAAAAAAAAAATGAAAAATGAGGGGGGTTCTTAGAGGGGTTTTAGAAAAAACATACCCCCCCCCCAAATCACGAATTTGAAGTACGTGTTGCGCACCCCGGATTTGGCAAAACAATTTTTAGTGAGGCGGGTCTTTCTCTCTCTCTCTCTCTCTCTCTCTCTCTCTCTCTCTCTCTCTCTCTCTCTCTCTCTCCCCCCTTCTTCCCC